CGTGGCTCTAGTGACCTTTATCTATTCAGTGATATTAAAGTTTCATTATTTGACATGCTGTTTTGAGAGGCAGTTACATTTTAAGAGGTTGGGGGAGAGAGATAATTACATATTTAATTTTATAAAAAATTAGTTTTTTTAATGACTTAACTTAATTTGCTAATTTGAATTGATACATTTACTTCGGGGGCTTTTTTTTTTTAGGGTTCAGATGATTGCTTGGTAAAGATATGGTCTACACATAATGGCAGATTGTTGGCCACATTAAGAGGCCATTCTGCAGAAATTTCTGATATGGCTGTGAACTATGAAAATACTATGATTGCTGCAGGAAGTTGTGATAAAATAATTAGAGTGTGGTGCTTGAGAACTTGTGCCCCAGTTGCTGTGCTTCAGGGACACACTGGCTCAATTACATCTTTGCAGGTAAAATTGAATGTCTTTGTTTTTGTATTATGTCTGTTTCCGCATGAGCATAGTAGTTGAATGTGATGCTTTTATAATCCAGCAGGGATGTGAAAGTATGTGCTCTGTTAGGGCAGGGGCTCTTTCTTTTTTTTATGTTTGTATTCCCAGCACATAGCTCAGTGCATGGCACATAGTAGAGATTAATTAAATGCTTGTTGAATGAATAAATTTTCATATGTGTGTATATTAAATTGAATTTGTTTTTTACTTATTTATATACATTTATTGTACATAAATTTATTCATTTTAAATTTTATTATACATACACACATATAATAAAATTAAAATTGAATAAATGTATAAATAAAATTAAAAAGAAAATTAATAGATAAAAGTCAGGTGAATGGTTAAATGTTTTTTCTGTTTTGTCACCCACCCCCTTTTAGTTCAGTAAGCATTTTTTAAGTTTTCTCATTACTTTAAGAATTTAAATCTTTCTGAAAATTGGGAGTTTTATTATTGAGGAAATTAACTCATGATTGAGAAGGGTGGCACAGGATGGGTAACCAAATACCTTATGTAGAGTTGACACATAAGAAATTATGCCCGGGTTTTATTGAGGTATATTTCAGTGCTTTGAGGTCAATCAAGTCTGATCCTATTTCAAAAGTAATATTTTTTTTCTACTTTAAATCTTCTGGATTTGAAAAAGTTGTTGGAAAACTTCCTCAAAAAACTTTGACACACAATTGATTAGATTGGTGTCAATGATTAAATGTTTTTTAACCCTAAGTCTGGAAGGGGTCATGATAGTGGTGTTTATTGGATCCATGGCAGGTGGTATGGAATTGTGGAAAGAAGAGAACAGGAGTCAGAGGAGCCTGTTTCCAAATCAGGGCTCTGCCGCTTCTTACCTATGAGACTTTAAACAAGTCTATTAATGTGTCTATAAGATGAGGGGACTGGCATAGACTCTTACTATTCTAAATCCTGGTGACTCTGACAATTTGAATTATTTTTCAGACATTTTCTTTGGAAGGTTCACATTTTATTTTCTAAAGTGACCAAGATAGATTTTCCTCTAAAGAAGTATAGAGTTTATTCCTATTTTTTGTAGGAAAGAATTATGCTTTTAAATGACAGAAATCATTTTCATTTAAGTCAAAGAATATTAGTAAAATGTTTTTGCTTGCTCTCAGGGAGTACCACTTTAATCACTGAAAAGTTTATACTTTTGGGGGAGGAGCACATCTTTGAAGGCTCTTGCATTTATATTTTAATCCCAATTCTCACTTCCCATGATGTCTACCTTGTCAATTGACACATATGCATGGTGGTATGATAAGAGTTTAAAATTCAATGAGTCAGCAATTGTTTAAGTACCTAATGTGGCAATGTGCCAGGGGTACATAGACAATAACGAATTAGTACCTTTCCTCAAGTAGCTCATATTGTCCTGTGTGGATACAAAGAATGTAAGTAGAGAAGTAAGTCAAGCTATTTATAAAATTAATTCAATCTTGAGACCTCCAAAGACTGAGTTCACACAGACTGAGACCATTTTGGGGGCCTTTACCTCAAAGAAATCATTATTTTTCTTTGGCTCATCCACCCTATTTTGAGTATTCTAGGGAAGTTTCTAATTGGCCCCATGATATAGCTTATGTCTAGCTTTCTCCAGATACTGGTCACAGGTCCCATAATTCCTGTATAGGTTGGCGCCAGATACGTTTTATTTCACTTTCACTGAAACACTAGATTTAGAGGACTCACACCTGAGTTAATGCTAAAATATATCAGGCACTCAAATTAGCTTTTTCTGAAGGGAACTGAAATTGTTGCCAGTGGGTTACAATTTAGTGAAATCTCTCTCTCCCAAAGAGTTGGGTTATATACAGTCACTTTCTGTTTTAGACTCTTCTAGAAGTAAACATACTTTAGGAGCTGCTGAAACAAGAATCCCCTTCCCATCAGACCTGCAGATATCCAAGTAACTTTTTTGCTTTGCTCTCCCAAGTAGGACACCACACAGAGACTATATAGGTGATCCTTTTCTTTCTCTAATGCTTTACTAATCAAGGAAGATCCTGTTTAGGGGCTGTGTAGATGATCCTGATCCTCTTTTTTTTCATCCAAAAATGTATGCTGCATCCTGGTATCCTCTTTTCTCAAGAGAAGGTCAATCCTGAAACTCTAACTTTGAAGCTGTCCAATTTGGGGGTACCCGTGAAACAACTCACAGAGCTGATGCTAACCTGGAAAACTCCCTTTACCTACTAAGAGACTAAATTATTGAAGAATATGCTAACTCCATTTATTGTCCTAGGGAGGTCATAATCCTTTAACTTTGAATCGGAAGATTTGAGTTTAGGAACAGTGTCCTTTAATTCCACTGTAAAGTGGTATGCAAGCACAGGTGCAAACCATGTGTTTCTACCGTAAGTTTCTATTGTCTGCTCCTGAAGTGAGAAGGAAGATTCTTGCCCTTAGTCTTCTATTGTCATTTCTCTCTGTAAGAAATGGGCATCATAAGAAGGACAAGGAAAAGAGCAAGTTAAGAGAGGACTGGACTTAACAATTTACTTCTGTAGACAGTGGGGATCAGTGGCTGTTTCTCAGCCTTTCATGAGGAGGAAGTCCAATTCTCTGGAGTCCAATGATCATGACTCCAATGGCATTCTCACATTTATATAGTTAGAGATTTAAGTGAATTTGGAGGCCATCTATTCTAATTTCTTCATATTCCAAATGAAGAACTTCCATGCTAGAATTGAATGCCCTGTCATTTGATGAAAATGTACCTTCAGTTGCCTACAAATCCTGTAGTTGCTTATGTTCTTCATTTTTATCATTACTACCCTTCCTACCTTTATGTAAATCCAAAGTAATTTTACAAAAGAGAGACATTTAGGAAATGCCTTTTGAAGAAGCCCTCATTTAGCATTTATGGATGAAAATTAAAGTAGAATAGCAAACAGAGGAGAAGTTGAAAAAATCTGTGAAGCTCATACTTTGACTCTAACATTATAGTTTCAGATGTGTCCACAGACTAGGTAGAAATGGTGAGAGAACAAAGATGGGGAAAGTACCTCAATTAGACCATATGTGCATAAATAAGAACTATGCTGGACGTGACAGTTTTGAGAGTATTAAGCAATTGATTAATAAGATCCTATGATCATAGAGTTAGACCTCGAAGGGACCTCGGGCCATTTAGTCCAACCCCCTCATTTAACAGATGAGGGAAACTGAGGTGTGTGTAGGAAGAGAAGGAAATGACCTCCTCACAGTTATACGTATTCTACATTTCAGAGGTGGGTTTAGCCCCTCGTCCTCTCGCTATTGCATCACCCTTCTTTACCCTGTAACTTTTTCAAGAAGGAAAGACCCCAAAGGAATTGAAAAAATTCTTGGATTTTATATAAACTGAAAAAGAAAGACAACCAAGGGAAAACAATGATTATATTGGTCTATATGCCTATTTTTTCATTAGTTCAAAATATCTGAGACTCATCGGCACATGCATTGGAAATGTTTGTTTAGGGTATTGATTGTTATTGTTCAATTGTGTTCAACTCTTTCTGACCCCATGGTGCATAGCACATTAATACTGACCATGGAGGTTTTCTTGGCAAAGATGCTGGAGTATCTTTATACACTCCAGTGTATTAAGGCAGACAGATTAACTGATTTGCCTAGGATCACAACGACTAGTGAATGTCTGAGGCCGAATTTGAACTCAGGTTTTCCTGACTGTAGGTTCAGTGCTCTAGCCATTGAGCCACCTAGCAGCCTAGGGTCTAGGGAACAGTCAGTTTCTATAATAGGACTCAAGAAATCTTTGCCATCATGCAGTTGACTGAAAGACACAAAGAATATGGGATACAACTGTACTTATTATTCAACTATAAAAAACCATTTAACCAGTAAGCTCCTTGAGTACAAGGCTTGTTTCACTTTTTTTCTTTATATCACTAGCACCTAGCATAGTGCTGGCACATCATAGCCACTTAACAAATACTTATTTCCTCTCAGCTGCTCTGCTTGGTTTTGATTCCATGAACATCATCTCTCCCCCAAGATAAGTTTTTTACTTCATGTCTAATCATCATCGTGATTGATTCAGTTTTAATACTAAGTACCTCAGCACCCTCAATTGCCTCTTCTCCCCACACTTCTCTTTATAGTGGGTTCAGAGTTTTTCTGCTTACTCTTCATTTACTGTCAACTACTCTGCTTGATTTTGACTCCACAAACAACATGCCCCTGTGCTGGGTACCAGTAACTTCTGATGGTACCACCTTCCCCTGCATACTCTTTTCAGCTTCCTTTTGTGTTTTGTCTTTTCCCATTACATTGTAAGCTTCATGAAGAGACAGAGATTGTCCTTATTTGTATGCCTGTACTTAGCACAATGCCTGGCACATATTAGATGCTTAATTAATGTTTATTGACCATTAATTAGTTAAATTAGTAAAACAATATTACACCTTAAAGGCTTAATTCCATTGGTGTTCCAGCCACACGTCAAAATCATTCCAGATTCTTTGAAAGCTATGAGCAAAGAGAACTTTATTCAGTGAGCCTCTGACCTGTGCTTGCCAAATGTTCTTCAGTGTCGATGGAGGAGATCCAGGAACAGAGTCCAACCTGAAAAGGAATTTCCTGTGTGTGGTGCTCCTTTTTGCAAGTGACATTTTGTTGGTTCCAGCATAGTGAGAACATCTGCAAAGTGTCTTAGATCTATAACCATTCAAAAGAGTTTGGCTTTACCATCCGTCCACCTTTAAAAAAGAAAAAAACTTAAGTGATGGAAGAATGTTTGTTGCCTATATTATGATACGGTTTTCTGGACAACCTATAGAGGCTGTCATGTATCTAGAACAGATAGTTCAAATGGTCCATAATTAAACAGAGAGATGAAAACTGACTGGATTGCTTTCAGAAAATTGCAAAACTCCCTTAATAATTCCAACCTTTTCCCAGAAACAAAACCCATCATCTTAATACTTGTATTCTCCTGCTATTGTTATATGGCTGTGAGACATGGAATTCAACAGTGTTTGAAGAGTTAAAAGTAAGTGTCACATAATAAAGTGTAGAAGCATATCATAGGTTATGAGCAAGCTATAGCATATACCAAATAAGCAACTTCACAGAAGAACAGGAGCAGAGGATGTCATCAGGGAAATTATGGTAGAAAAAGAAGATGACTTAGTCCAGAGTTCAGGACAAGGTGTACTTTCTGAGAGCTTCTTTGGTTCTAGGAGAAAACAAAGAAGCCTTCTAACATGTTGGGTGGACACCCTGTGGCAAATCTGTGGCAGGACATGGACAACAGTTATACAAAGTAGGATGGCCTACATAGGTTGTGATTGGCATCATTTGAGAGAACATCCAAATCAATGAGAGCACAGATTCATGTGAATATTTGTTCATTAGTATGCATTGCTACCAGCTGAATATTTTAAAACATTGCCTTCAACTTATTCTGCTTTTCAAGAGTATGATAACTTTTTATTGCCTAATGCATCAGGTTCAAACTCCTCTGCCTAGTTTTCAACGTCTTCCAAAATGTGGCCTATTCTCTCTTCAAGCTTATTTCTAACTATTTTCCAATATAAACCTTCCCTTCATTCTAGTCAGGCAGGTTTCATTACTATCTCTACCACACTAATTTCTAGTTTTTACCTGTTCAGTCCTTTGTATTTGTATTGCTCTCCTCCCTTTCTTCCTTTTATTCATAGCTTATTTTTCCTGTAAGCCCCAGCTGAAATCTCTTCTGTCCTGTGGAATTTTCTTTCCATCCCACATTAACTTTTTCTCTTTTTTGTACCCAGTGTCTAGGCTGCACAATTGGCATTTTATTATCTTATCGTTTTTATAAGTATTTAACCTTTCCAATTAGATTATAAACTCTACATAGTTAAAGTGTCATATATTATTGTACTTTGGCATTCTCTTATGTTTACCATAATTCCAGTCCTGAAGTAGACACTCAATATTCAATTTGGTGTTTTATAGGTATCAGAGACACAATTCTGGTGCATATTACTGATAGCAAGTATTTCAGTTTCATGCCCGAATAAAAGAACAAGGATACAATCCGCTAAGTCAGTGCCCAATCTTTTGTTCTTATCTTTTCTGCTGCAGACAGCAGAAGCTCACTATGTTGTATAAGATTAGTTTGTGGGGGAATTTGTAAAAAAGATTAGCATAACAGGAAAGCTTGAGGTTGTGTGTGTTTTTCTAGGTAGTGGTCATTACATTTTGAATTTTATCTGTATTTGGGTTTTGCTTTATTTTTAAGCGTCCTTTCAACAATATTTGACTTTTTTGTTGATTGGTATTAAAGCTTCAATTCTTCCAACATTTATTAAGCACTTGCTGTATTCAAGGCAGTGTGTATGGTAGGCATTAGGGCTACAAAGATAAAAACTCTTAAGAGCTTATTTCCTTGTGGAATTTCATTTGAGTTCAGCTTTGAAAAGTTAATCTGTCTTCCAAAATAAGTTATAATGAAGTTGCTGCTTTCTTTTTTTTTTTTCCGAGTAATGAAGTTATAGAAACTGAATGCGTGTGTTGTTGTCTATTTTAGTTTAGTCCAAAGGCTAATGGCTCTGAGAGATACATGGTGTCTACCGGTGCGGATGGGACAGTTTGCTTTTGGCAGTGGGACTTAAATTCCATGAAATTCAGGTTTGTGCCTTAGTTAAAAGATGACTATACATCAATTTTTTCCTCATTAATATTGCCACAAGAAGCAAGATAGAGTGCTGGACTTGATGTTTAGAAATCTCAAATTCAAATCCTGCCTCAGACACTAAGAGTTGTGACTGTGGACACGTTAGTAGAAGCCCTTCAGTTTCCTCATCTATAAAATGAGGGAATTGGATTTGATGGCCTGTAAGATCCTTTCCAGCACTAAATCTATGGTCTGATGATTCCATGATATTGTCCTAATTGATTGGAGATAGTTGTAAGTGGGACCGTATGGGTGCCCTTCTATTAATTCCAAAATTCTAAAATTTCAGTTTTGTCCTTTCATACACTGCCTATACCAAATTAAATGGCCTTTTCTGTAGACTTAATGTTAGGAAACTTTGTTGGCACATACAATTGTATTGTTTTAGAAGGAAATACTTTTAGAGCCCATTTTTATTTAAGCATATTAAAGTTATGATAGTAAATATCAGTGTGCTAATTTAATTTTTTAACATTTTTATTTTTTAAAAGTAATCGTCCTTTGAAATTCACTGAAAAACCTAGACCAGGGGTTCAAATGCTTTGTTCGTCTTTTAGTGTTGGTAAGGTAACTTATTTTAATATACTTTTTTGTTAACTTACATTAATGACTTTTAATTTTTAACCTATTTATTGAATGCCCTTAGTGTGCTAGACTGTGTGATATTGTGATATATGCCTGTGTATTTAATTTCTGCTTAAAACTCTTCCCTTCTTTTTTTTCCTTTGTGCCGTAATAGTGGCATCATAGCTGATGGAGGAATGAGAAAGATTAGCTTGTTTTCTTCTCTACTGCCAAAAAAATGAGGCTGGGGCAACCCAGAAGGGAAATGCTCCATAGTTACGTAGTATTAATTAAATGACATATTATGTCAAAGTTAGGTTTCATTTGACTGTGACCTTTTACTTGAAACTGTTTGTGATGAGCTACATAATTTTTTTTGGTAATATAATTTGTTCCCTTCCACACCAAAAATTATTTGAGTAGTCTTGTTCTATTTCTTCATACTAAAGATTGTGTTTGATTAACTGTTAGCTTCTTAGGACAGCTTGAAGAAACCTTGAATTTTTTTTTCTATGTAAGTTTTTTTTTTAATAGTAGTCTGGAACTTCAAACAACTAGTCAGAATGTGTGCTTAGCTTAAACACAAACTAAAATTTAGACAGGTGGCTCCTGTCTGTAGAAGTTAGTCTTTTTGCTCCACAATTTCAAAGAAGGAACCTATGCAATTATCACCAAAAATTATAGAATAATTGATAAGGATGGTAAATATTTTCAGATCCTACTAACTTTCTTAGTTTGTAGTACGTGATTGATTTTTTTAAATGCTAGCAATTAAAAATTTTAAGAAATTCTATTTGTTTGAAAGTGGATCTGTCTGAGAAAGTTTTGTGAGTTTTAGAAAAATTCTCGATAAGAATTTGATGTGGGAGTTTTTGTAATGCATATTAATAAGTATTACTAAAACTTAATGTATTTCAGTGTTTTATGATTTTGATTTTCAGGTGGCATGTTCTTAGCAACAGGTAGTACTGATCATGTAATCAGAATGTATTTTTTGGGCTTCGAAATGCCTGAAAAAATAGCAGAACTCGAAAGTCACACTGTAAGTACTATTTGTGTTTTTAAATTATATGCATTTATTTAGAATTAGTAAGTGTTCAGATTTTTGCTCATATGGCTATAGAGCTGCTGTTCATTACACATCATTTTGAGATTCTAAGCATTGAGGTAGTAGAAACATTAAGGTAACTTTTCCATTGAAGTTCAATTTTTGGAATAAGTTATACTTTCACTTTTGAAAGTCTTAGATTATTATTTTAGCTAATTGTAAATGTCCTTTATAGGCCGTTATTAAACATTGGTGTGTGAGTTTGATCCATTTGTTGTAGGTACTTAATGTCATGCTTTCTCTAGATCAACTGTAGTTAGTAAAGGGAAAACTCACTTGCCTGTATTTTGTGATTCTTGCTTCTACTCTTTATTATTGTAACTAAGAGGCAGAATTCTTATAGATACTAAGTCACAAAAGTGGAAGAGATTCTTGAGTTTTCAAATATTCATCTTACATTGGATTATTTTGGAAGTCAAATGAGGAAAATACACATTTGAATGAAAAGTTGAATAATCTGAATACTTTTTCTTTTTGTAGGATAAAGTCGATAGCATCCAGTTTTCTAACAATGGTGATCGGTATGTTTTTTAAAAAAAATTAAACTTTCAACTAGATATTTATTTGCATATGTGTGTGTGTGTACACACGTGCACATTATGTGTACTATATTTATAAATATAATAAATCTAGGCTAGCCATCATGGAATTTGCTTAATTTATTAATTTATTCTAGTCTCTTTGTCTTTGACTAAAAATTAAGTTCTTCTAAGATCTTACATACTTTTGTGTCTTCTCATCTACTTTCTTCCTCTACTCTACTCCTTTCTGTATCCTATTGGCTCCTATCAGCAATCTTAATGATGGGCTCATTTACATTTGTAGTCACATTTCTTATGTTTCAAATATTTATAGGCTTATTTATTTTAATAGTTGTATTTTCTTAGTATCTAGACTTTTGGGACATCCTGTATTTGTTTTTTCCCAGTTAGTATTTGCATTTTTCTGCAAATTTATCTTGAGCTTTTAACATATATCTTGACTTTAAATTTTATTTAATTTTTTATGCCATAATTTCTCCAAGGAATTGTGTTTTCCTCTCACTGGGACTTACTTAACCTTTTTTTAAAGATGAAGAAAATGAGCTTCCCTAGTTAGGCCATAGTATGAAATGAATCCATTGACACAAGACCTACATATTTATGTGAGAGCTGTTGCTTCTGTTGTGTTCCCTAGATCTGATAATATATGCTTTTTTTTAAACCCTTAATTTTCTCTATATTGAGTTTTCATATTCACTATTTGAGTTTGTAGTTGTCTTCACAGGACTAGTTAAATCTTAGTATATCACTATTTTTGCCCAAATGAGCATCATAAAGAGAGATGAACTATAACCAAGTTAATTAATTCTAATTAGAAAATTTGAGGTAAAGGTAGAATAACTTCACATTCTGAGGAGATATAACATCCCACCTGAACTAAGTTGTAATTCTTTTATTAATAGAATGTTTCTTTCCACAACAAAGAACATCTGAGTTAACATCATTAACACCGCATTATAGTATTTATGTTTTCATTAAATGAATAAGAAATGTGTCGTGCTAAGTAGTGGAGGGAAACAATGGATCTTGCCCTCAAGGATTATAAAATCTAGTAGGGGCAATAAGACATTATGCAATTATAATACCTTCTCCATTATGGAAGCCGGTGCTACACCTATGTGTGGGCTTTGTGTTACAGGTTAATAAGTGAAGTTGTGGGACCTTTGTGGGATAAGAATCTACCCACCTGAATTTGGGGGAGGTTTACCTGTTAAGATAGACAACAAATACTTTTCCACACATCACCAGCAAGCTATAGGAGGGATTAAATATATATATAAATAGAGTTATGAACTTCATTTTCAGTTTTTTTGGAGTAAGAAAGAAGCCTATCACCTTTAATATACTTTGTTTATATTCATGTTTTCCTTAGAACTTAATCCATGATTATGGGTACCACCATCAGTTGAGCCAGATATAACAATTAGTTTGGGTTAATTAGGAAAGATTTCAGGAGAAAATATCACTTAAGATAATCCTTGAAAGATTAGTAAGATTTTTTACAAGTGACAATGGAGAACAAGGTTTTTGAGTCATAGGAAATTGTGTAAATTAAGGTATGGCAGTGGAAAAGCTTAAGACTTATTTGGGGAACACTGAATAATCCAGTTTGGTTGTGTAGCACAGAGAATGTGAAGGTGAAATAGATAGGAAGGGTATATTGGAGCCAGCTAATAGTGCAAAGCCAATGTAAGATATTTATCTATAAAAAGGTAGCCAATAGGAAGCCATTAGAGATTTAAAGGTGGAGGGACAAAAACAGACCTGTGTATTTTGAAGACTAGAGATAGAGAGAACAGTTAGTAGACTGTTAACATTTGGCACTGGCAGTGATGAGGAAGAAATGGATGAGAAGCAGTGCATGGAGATGGTATAAACAGTATCTGTTGACTAGATGTTTAGAAAGGATAGAGATGAGTCAAAGGTTTCTCTGAAGTTAAGAGCACAGGTAATAGAATACATATGGGATAGCAGTTGAATCAGGGAGAAGAGCAATTTAATGGGAAAGATGAGTTTACTTTTAGATATACTGAGTTTTTTTAGGTGAGAGTGAGGTGAGAAATTACATAGAGTGCTTGAAGAATGCCATAGTGCTTTATGTGTGTCAGGTGGTGTTGTCATTACACCAAATAGTTTAAAACGGTAGTCTAAAGTTCAGATCTGTAGTCATCTACATAGAAGTGATACTTGAAGCTCTGGAAATAAATGAGATCATTAAAATAGAGGTTAAAAAAAAAAAAAGAAGAGAGCCACATTGGGGAATGCCTGTTACAATGGTAGAAAAAGAAAAGGTTATAAACCTTTATATGAAAGAAGAATAGTAGCTTGAAGAAATATTAGGTTTAAGAGAAGATTCTCCCCACTTCAACCCATTCAGCCACTAAAGTGATTTTCCTAAAGCACAGATCTGATTATATCACTCTTCTACTCAATGAACTCCAGTGACTCCTTGCCTTCAGGATCAAATACAAAATGCTGTTTTTGGCATTTGAACCCTTTCATTATAAGCCCTAACCCTCTTCTGCCTTTCTAGTCTTCTTATACTTGACTTATTTCCATTTACTCTTCGATCCAGTAGCACTGGTGTCCTGGCTGTTCCACAAAGGAGACACTCCATCTCTAGACTCCGGGCATTTTCTCTGGCAGTCTCCCATGCCTAGAATGGTTTCCCTCCTCAGCTTGCTTTCTGACTTCTGGTTTCCTTTAAGCCCCTACTAAAATCCCATCTTCTTTTATAGGAAGCCTTTCCCAAACCCTCTTAATTCCAGTACTTTCCCTCTGTCAGTTATTTCCTGTTTCCTCTATATAGCTTGCTTATTGTCTCCCCCATTAGATTGTGGGCTTCTTGAGGGTAGGGGCTGTCTTTTAACACAGTGCCTGACATGGAGTAGATGCTTACAATGTTTATTGATTGATTGATTTTAAGTTAAGGGAGGCAGAAAGGAAGGAATACTTATCAAGGGAGAGAGATAACATTTAGAAGAGACTTATTGAGTGATGGTAATATAAGTAGGGGTGAGAGGTTATCTGGATAGGAGAGTTAACTTCTGTTCACTGAGGAAAATTATAAGTACAGTTAGGAAATTGAAGAGAAATGAACAGTCACTGTTGGTAATCCATGCATGCAAAGCACTGTGCTAAGTACTAAGTATACAAAGAAAAATAAGACAGTCCTTATTCTCATTGTAATGGGGAAAATAACACATGTGGAAGGTTTTAGCTACCAATCAGGTAGAAAGGCCCATGTTCTTAGCAGATGCTGATGCTTCTTATTTAATGTCATTACACTGATAAAAAATCACATCATTTTTTTATGTTGAACCATTTGAGAGTGCCAAGGACTTTGGTGGCAAGAACTTTCTTTTTCAGATCTTCAGGTTTTGGCTTTAGCTGGAGCTGTTGCCAGGCTATATCTCCACTGGGGTGGCCACCTAGAATAATGGTCGAAGGCACTGCCACTCCCATGGCTCTTGGTTCCAGGATCTCGGTCTATCTCTAGCAGAATCTGAAAGAAGATGTTAGTCAGGCTGATGGTAGTGGTCTGTCTTACTGGCATATGCTGCCTCTTATTTCTCCCTCTGGGTGGTTTTCTGTTTTGGCTAGAAATGACAGCAAATAAAAAGATTGCTGAATTTTAGCTTAGGTTGTGTTGCATAAATCTATGATTAATAAGCTTCATGAGGTGTTTGTGAATATATCTAGCAGCAGTTGGCAGCCTAGAACATAGATAGGAGGCTGGGGATTACCTAGTGTTGGGAATTAGCTGGGTAATAATAGTAGAAAGAAAAAAAGAGTGAGGGATTTTATGGTAATCTTATTGAAAATGGTTAATTTGGATAGGCTGGATACGAGGAGATAAGTAAAGATGGGTAATTAGCATGGAATCGTTATACAACTGATTCTTAGAGTAGGAAGGGACTCAGGGCGTTTAGTCCAGCTTGTACGTAAATGATGAATAGTTTCCCAGACACGCAGTCAGTGCTGCCTTTTCTTGAAGACTTCTAGTAAGGAAGAACATGCTGTCTTTCTTTCTATTTTTAGATGGCTCTAACTCTTGTGAAGTTTTTCCTTACGTCGAGCCTAGGCGCCTTTTTGCAACTTCTACTCATGTTACTTGTCTACTTTTCTACATTACAACCTTTCAGACACTTGGAGACAGTTGTCTTATCTTTTCATCTCCAGGCTACACATCCCCAGTTAAAGATCAGTTGATCCTTATGTGATGTGATCTTTATTCTGCCTTTCATCATTGTTGTCCTCCTCTGGATGTTCTTTATTTTATCAGTGTCTTTGCTAATGTGGCACTCAGAACTGAGTATAGTAGTATGATCGCCTCCCCTAGTCCTCTTAATGTAAAAAGTTTCATTAGTTGTTTTTTTTTAATCGCTATACCATGTGGTTTATTCATATTGAGTGTGTAGTTTGCTAAAACAGAACAGAAAAACTGGGGATCTTTTGCAGTTGAACCATTATGTAGCATTCTCCTTCATTTTGTACATAGGACCTTGATTTTTTGAACATATGAGACATTACATTTGTCCTTGATAAGTTAAGTTTTACCTTATTAGGTTCAGCTCAAGTTTTGCCAAAGTCCAGGTAAACTATATCAGTAATATTCCTGTGATCTACCAAGAAGCCATGTTAACTGAAAGCAGTAATGATCACTGCTTTCCTTTCCAAATGTTACCAAACCATCCCTTTAATAATATATTATAGAATTTTGCAAAAAAGATAAGTATTCGTATTCCAATTTTACAAATGAGGAGGTGAGATTCAGAGGAGAACATAACCTATTCTTGGTGCTGGCTCTTTGTTATTACTACTTTTTTATTTTGAGCTTAATATCAGCAAACATTTCAATAAACAAAGAACAGAAAAGGGTTGCATATGATACTGAAATAGGTGCAGTAGTACATACCTATTATTGTAGCTACCAGAGAAGCTAGCAGACCTTTTGAGCTCAGAAGGAATTATCTGGAAAAGAATATGCATAATATTGGGAATTCACACTGAATCAGCCATCAATATGATGAACCCCTGGTAGCCCAGGAAGCCACCAGGAAGGAGAAAGGAAAGAAAAGAAACAAAGCATAAACTTGGATACAGGTTTTTTAAGTGTATATTAAACTTAAAACAGTAATAATAAAATTGTCCTACTTCTGTTACCATTTATAAAAACTTCTTTTGCCAACTTCTATGCATTTTAAAAATATTTTATTGATGCTTTTTTCCATCATTTTTATTACCCACCAGTTCAAGCTCTCCCCCCCCAGAAGCCTCCTTTATACCCAATAAATTTAATCAAGCAAAAAGAAATCATTAGCTATGTACATATAGTTCTATATACAACCATTCATCACCTCTAAGGTAAGATGTGGGAAGTATGTTTCATCATCAGTCTCCAGCAACCATGATTGTTCACTTCTTTGATCAGAGTTTGAAGTATTTCAAAGTTATTTTCCTTTACATTATTATGGTCATCATAGAAATTAATTGTCCTCTGGTCCTGCTTAATAATTTGTAACAAGTCTTCCCAGATTTCTTTGGCTCTTTTGTAATTTTTTATGTAATAATATTCCATTACATTTCCTATACCAAAAATTATTCAGCCATGACCTAATTGTTGTCTCCAATTCTTTGATACAACAAAAAATAGATCTTAGTTTTGCAGTTATCATTGATGTTTGCTACTTCTTTATTAACATATTCTAAAAAAAAAATTTTCAGGAACCAAAGTCAAGCTCACTAGACTATAATTTGCAGGCTTTTATAGAAATTGGGTTGTTTACACTTCAATTTCGTAGCCCTTTCCCCGTTTTCCATTTTAAGGAACAGTGACAATAGTTAAAAGATCATAGTCTCCAGTTCTTTTAGTATTCTTTCTTTAACCTTTTCTGTTTCTTTTGAATAAGGCTTTCTCTTTCAGCCATTTCTAATCATCAGCCTCATTCCATCAAATATCACTAATATTTGATGATGTCAAATTAATCTAATTGCATTAATATCACCAGGTCACCATATTTGTTATTCTTATTTTGTTCATTTACATATAGAGTCTGAGAATCTGGATAGTATTTTGGGTCTTCTCTTGGATTTTGTCTCTGATAATTTCTTGCTGTCTTTGTTGCTATACTTAGGCAGCTAAGTGGTACAGTGACTAAAGCACCAGGCCTGGAGTTAGGAAGACCTGAGTTCAAATGTGACCTCAAACTCTTACTAGATGTCTGACTCTGGGCAAGTCACTTAACCTCTGTTTGCCTCCAGGGTTATGAGGATCAAATGAGATAATAATTGTAAATAAGCACTTAGCGCAGTGGCTGGCACACAGTAAGCAGCATATAAATATTAGCTGTTATAGCTACTGTCTGTAATAGTTACTGCCTTACATAGGCAGTTTCCTCCCTTCTTTTTGCTTTTTGAAGCCCTTTGGTTAGATCTGCAAGATCAGAGAAGTATATTTTTGCCAGCCTTCATTAGTTACATCCTCCTTTGTTGAGGATCATATTAAACCAAGGTCCAGAAATCCAAATCTCTATTGTCAGACAAAATCTTCTCAACTATTTATTTACCTTGACTTTGGTTACTAGCAGCGTTGAAAACACTGCCTTTACTCTTTAGTTCTTCAGATTTTTAGCTGAGACATGATAATTTTTATTAATATTGTCAAAATTTCTTCTGGCAGTGTCATTTGTGCCCACAAAAAGCACCAGGAATATGCAGTAACCAATTTTGACAAGATTTAGGAGGTTCTTCATTACACTTTGGAAACGTTCTCCAGGAACTTAGCAGATCTTGATGTTTGTGTATGTTAAGAGTGTGAGGAGCTGAACATAACATAGATTTTCATGAAAATAAAGATTTGGGAGTTGGAGATCTAAATTAAGGAATTCAGGAGTTTGAGACAAGGATAAAACTAGTGTTGTGAAGTGGTAGAATGGAGCATCAATTCTGTAGTCAGATGACTTGGGGTCAAAATTCTACCCCTGATGATTAATACTTATATGATGTTGGGCAGATCACTTAATTTATCAGAGCTTCATTTTTTCTAATCTGTAAAATGAGATGGCTTCTTGGTAGAACAGAAAAACTGGGGATCTTTTTCTGTTGAACCATTATGTAGCAGTCTCCTTCATTTTGTACATAGGATCTTGAGGCAGAAAACTGTTTTAGGGAGATGGCTGGATCCAGGTTGGAGCAAAGGTGATATTGTATAGCATAAATTTTATTTATAAAATTTCAAAAATTTTATTTAAATATTTTGTTTCGACTTTGTTTAATATGGTATTGTTTCAGCACTTCCTAACAAATACCAAACAGTCTTCCTCTGAAAAAGTATATTCTCCAAAGAACAGTTGATATATTGATTACCAATGAAAAGGATGTGTATGTGTGTATTTTAACTTTGAAAATATGGTATAACATTGACCATTGAATTTTATCAGTTTTGTTTGCTCTGTATTGACTAGGTTTACAATGTGTATATACACATTGCGTATATTCTTTTGGTTCTACTTTCTTTGCTCTGCCTAATATTATGCACATCTTTCCATGTTTTCTGAAACTTTTTTTTTATCTTTGTTACTCCTTTAAGGAGCAATGACATTTTTACATTCATGTTCCATAATTTGTACAGCTATTCTCCTATCCTTGTTGTGTTTATTTTAGTTTTAGCTTTTTGTTTTCTCAAATAGTACTATTATGAGTATTAATTTACATGTGAGTGTGGGTCTTGCTGTCTGTTAGTAACTTCCTTAGAGAGTAGGTCTAGCAGTTTAATGTCTTAGTCAGGTATGAACAATTTGATTTAGAAACTTTTCTGGCAAAATTCTAAATTGTTCTCCAGAATGGCTGAAACATTCATAGCTCTATCAATAATGAGGTAGATTGTGGCCACTTGAATTTTAAAGGAGTAGTGGTTGAGTAGCAATACAGCTTTTTATTTTTGGTGAGGTTTAATGCAATTTTGCTCTCAAATTTAGGGGAAAAAAAGATTCTTGAGATATGGTGTAAGGAAGGAAGGTAGACACAGGTAATGTGGTATAGCTTAAAGAGTATTATTTGGAAACCTAGAATATAGTTTCAAGCTCCAGCTGTGCTAGATATTGGAAAATCACTGTCTCCCTAGCCTTGGTTTTTTGTTTTGTTTTTTTTTTTACCTGTAAAGTGAGGGAGTGAAGTGGGTGATTTCTGACGAGATCTGAAACATGATTAATGCTTCTTTTCTGCTTGATTGGAGTATTCTAATCCCTGGCCCCTTACTATTGCTTCTTTACTATTTGTGGGATGTTGGTCAAGACTTCATCTCCTATGGCTCATTATGTTAAATGGGAGAGTGGACCTTCCAGCTCTAAATCTATCTTTCTATGATCTTCAGTGTAATGAAAATTTACTCTCAAATGTGTGGGTGTAATACCTTTCTTAATATTTATTTTTAGCTTCTTAAGTGGTAGCAGAGATGGAACAGCAAGAATTTGGAAATTTGAGCAGCCGGAATGGAAGAGTATTTTACTGGATATGGCAACAAGATTGTCATGGTAAGTTGGGGTGACTTATTGATTAGATAAGGGAAATGGTTGGTTTATAGAGATTAGGAATCTGTGTTTTGTTTAAAGGGGTTGCTAGGGTACTTTCTTTGTAGGCTAAGTTTTATTTAATTATTATGTTCATAAATTTGCTGAATAACAGTGATGAATTGTAATCAGAATTGGGTGTGATAATAAAAGAAATGTGTTTTGTTTTGTTTTTTCCATATTTTTTAGGATCTATGATCTCACCCATTCTGGAATTTCCTCTATGAGGAGATTGCAGAGTTGCCCTGCATTTTCACCCTCTGATTGTTGTCCATATACTTCCAAAGATCTTCCAAAGAGGCTATGTGTTGCTGTACTAAGTCAAATGCCTCTCTATCATTCTCTTGCTCTCGTAATCAGCAAGCAGTAAACAGTAGGATTTTGTATTCTTTGTATGTATGAGTCAATTGTGTGAGTCTAAAGACATGGGAATATTGGTTATGAAAGACTTTTTTTGGTTTGTATTTTATTGATTTCTTGATCTGTGGCAAGTCTTTTAACCTCACTGGACCTAAGAGGAGCCAAGAGGTGTGTTAATCCCAAGTTCAGTTGCCTTTTAGTGTTATTTTCATTCACATTTTTTTAGTCATTGTATATATTATTCCATTTTTTATCTTTGCAGGTGTTAGTTCAAGTCTTCCCATGTAAAAGTTTTTCTAAATATCTGTCATTTTTAGTGTCATCAAAATATTCCATTACATTTCCATACCATAATTTGTTCATCTCCCAATTGATGGACCTATTTCTGGTTTTTACCACAAACAATTTCTTCTGTAAATAGTTTGGTATATATGGAAGTATTTGCTGTAGTTTTTTTGTTCAGAAATACTCTTGATATAGGTCAGTAAAGGTCATTCTCATAAAGATAAGAAATTAGACATGTGAACCAGTAGTGACTGGCCTTTTGGGAGTAGTAGTATCCATGAGTTTTGTCCGTTCTTTTGTCCTGGGATATCTTCTAAAAGGTTTCCTCAGTGCTTTTAAGATTGTATCACGTCAAGTACTGGTTTTCATGGTTTTTACTTAATTTGTTCAGTTGTTTTTCCTGATGTAAGTCTTAAACATGAAGTGGCTTAAGTGCCTGAGATTTTGACTGAGATTTTTGGGTCCAAATGTAGTAGTTCCTTTGTCACTCACTGATGAAGAAAACCGAACATTATGGAAATGATACATTTGTTCCATATAATTTGTTATCCTCTGGCAGTTAATCTATAAATGATTGTGGAATGATATAGCTCAGTTGAGTGTTGATTCAGTCATTCTTCAGATTTGTTGTCACTTTGCCTGTGTTATAAATGATACTATTCTTAATCTTCTGACTTGCTCTATAGTGAGTGAGTGTGTGTGTGCGTGCGGGCACACGCACATGGGGAGGATGGGGGAAGGGAGAGGGAGGATAAATAGGAAACAGTTCACAAAAGGAAGCCACTAGAATTAAGAAGGGTTGGGAAGGGCTTCCTGTAAAAGATGAAATTTTAGTTGGTTCACTTGTCTAATTTCTTTATGAGAATGACCTATACTGAGTATCAAGAATATTTCTAAACAAAGAAAGCCAGGGAATCCAGTAGGTGGAGATGACAAGGGAGACCATTCCAGGCATGGGGCCGGGGGACAGACAGAAAATGCCTGGAGGCTACAGATGGAGTGTCTTGTTCATGGAACAGCCAGAAAGCCAATGTGTCTGGATTGAAGAGTATGTGGCAGGGAGTAAGATGTGAGAGACTGGAAAAGTAAGAGGAACCTAGATTATTGGGGCTTTGAATGACAAAGGATTTTGTTTTTGATCCGGGAGATAATAGGTTTTGCTTTTGGACACATTAATGAAGCCATTTCTGCCAACTCCTTTGCCTTTTTGAGGAAAACCTTTGAACCATCCTTATATTCAGCTGAAACTTCCTTATTTATTTTAAGGCTATCCATATTAATGTGGTTTGGTTCATCTGTTATTAAGCATTATTTTGTCATTGCACAAATCTTAATATTCAATTTAGATCAGACATTTATTAATTGCCTACTACGTACCAGGCACTGTGTTAGGCATTAGAGGTTCAAAGACAAAAAGTGAAGATATTCCTTCTTGCATTCTACAGGGAGTGTGGGAAGTAACATATACAAATTGTTTATGGTTTCCCAGACCTGTGATTTCAGTGGAGTGGGAAACTCCTAGTCAGGGAATTCTCTATATTAATGTAGATAAGCAAATGTTTTTCAGTTTCTTAAATTAGAGAGTGAATTGTGCTAGACATAGATATCCAAGTAAATTGAAATTAAATTTTTGAGAGGAGCTATTATCAACAAAGATGAATCAGAAGGCAGCAGTTGAAACAATGGAGGTAGAAATTCCAAGAATGAGAAGTGAGGAAAGAAAACATTTCAGGATTGGGAGGCTAGGATAGCCTGTGCAAACGGGTTGGAAGTGAGAGATAGAATGTGATGCTCAGGTGACAGCAAGGAGATCAATTTATGTGGAATATGGAGTGTGGGAGGGCAGTAACATGAAGTACGTTTGGAAAGTTAAGTTGACGCCACTAGGTTGGAACTAGATTTTGAAGGGCTTTGCATACAGAGGAGTTCATATGTGTTCTTAGAAGCAATAGGAAGTCACTGAAACTTTTTGGGCAGGGAAGTGACAGGGTTATGCCTGAGCTTGAGGGATATCAATTTGGCAGCTTTGTGGAGGTGAAAAGGCCATTTGAGGTCTTGGAGTAGTAGACTGTAGAATTAGTTTTGCCATGAGGTGATGAAAACCTGATATAAGGTAGTAAAATTCACATGAGAAACTAGATAAAGATAGAATTCACAATACCTGGCAATTGATTTTATATGTAGGGCGAGAAAGACTGAAGAGTTGAAGATGGCTTTGAGAGTCTTCTTGAACTTTCAGTAGCATTTGACATTGTTGATTCCCTTCTCCCTATGAATACTTTCCTCTCTAGGTTTTTGTTTGTTTTGACTCCTCGTTCTGTTCTAACCTGTCTTAAATGCATCGTCACTAGTTCATAATTCATGTCATGGCCATTAACTGTGGGTGTCTTCGAAGATACTGTCCTCAGCCCTCTTCTCTTTTCTCTCTGTATTTTGTCATTTGGTAATTTTCTTTGGCTCCCACTTCAGTTATCATCTTCATGCCAGTCTTTCCCAGATCTACAAATCTAGCCCTAGTCTTTCTCCTAAGCTCTACTCTTACATTAACACCTACCTTTTGGACATCTGTACATATAGTTATGTGTGTTAAATTCAGCAAGTCCTAAACAGAACTCTTTGTTTACCTTCAAGCATCTCCTTTACCCAAGTTCCCTTTTACTGTTGAAAGGAAAACAGGCCTCCCATCATCCTCATCCTACATACATATCTAAGCTATTGCCAAATCTTGTCATTTCTGTCTTTACAAAGTATCTGATACATGCCCCCTTCTCTGTAGTTACTCAACTAACACCTTGATTCAGGCCTTTATCACCATTACTCTGGACAATTCCATTTGGCTGTTTGGCAGCGCAGTGAATGGAGCCAGGAAGACCCAAGTTTGAATATTGCCTCAGACACTAGTTACGTAACCCTGGGCAAGTCAGTTAAGCTATATGCTTCAGTTTTCTGGTCAGTAAAATGTGGATAATAATAGCACCTACTTCACAGGATTATTGTAAGGATGATAATGAGATAACATATAAATGCTTTGCAAACCTTAAAGCACCACATGCTATTTGTCTGAAACTTATTCACTGACTGGTCATTAAAGCACGTTCTTTTCTGTGAAGCTTCTGAGCTTGAGATGTAATAGTAGCATCTCACCATAATTTCGCTAATAACTAGACACCTTTAAACTGTGGGGTCAAAGGCACAAGTAATTTTTCCCAAAAAATTTAGACTTTCCCAGCAATTCATAGTTCCATCAACAATATGGCTATCTTTGAAACATCCCCTGTCCATTCCCCTCACTCTATGTCCTCCCCAGCATCTTACTTTAAAGCAGCCCACCCTTTCCAATGTTCTTTCTTGGAATGGCTTTTGGGTAACTGATATACATGCTGTCATCTTATACCTTTTCCTTTCTCAGTACTTCCTTCTTCTTGCATTCCCTGAGACCTGGCTTTCTCCTGATGACAGTTTCCCTAGCCACCTTTTCCAACACTAGCTGCACCTTCACACACCCCTCTCCCCTTGTCCCCCCACATCACTGGTTGTGGTAGAGTTGGAGTATTGCTTGCTCCTCAACTTCCAGGCTCTGACTCTCACCATCACTCAGTAACCTCTTCTCTTTTCGGGTTCATTCAGTCTATATCATCCAGTCAAGATTCTGGTAGCTGTTTATTTATGAACCTCCAGGATACTCTCAGTGAACTCATGAGTTCCATTCCTGGCTCATAGTCTTTCTCTCTTCCCCAACTACTATAGTGATGCTCCTTCAGTCACTTCCCATTTTCCCTTTGCTCAGTTTCCTCATTTCCCATGACCTATTCCACCTCACCTCAGCTACACACAGAGTTGGGGTTTTTTTACCTTTACCTTTTTTACCTTGCTTTCACTCACAAATGTGTTCCGCATGTTTGTGAGCTCTGAAATTCCTTTCTTTGGTCACAATCTGTTGTCATTCCACCTCTCCCACTGCTTTGCAAGCTCTATCCCTGTTCTTGGTTCTCATCATGACCTCCAGTCTCTCCCTCTCTCACTTCTTCCCCAGGCCATCATAAATACACTGCCTACAGTCTCTTGCCTTCCTCTTTGCCTATCTTAACTCTTTGGTGAAGCTTTTCAGCTTAACTCTTGCCCTGCCACGTGTAAGCCTTGCCATTCACTGCCCTTGTCCCTACTCACTCATGCTGAATGAAGAAACCATGCTGCTTGGATCCATTACAACTTTCTGTTACATAATCTCAACTTACTGTAGTAAGGTAATCCTTTTATACCTTCCGAACCAATTCATGATTCTTCTACTCACTAGAGCAATTTCTCTCATCCTTTTCATTCCTCCTCATTCGTCCCGTGGCTCTTTTTCCACCCATCTTCTCAGCTAAGAACCTTGCCTCATATTTCACTGAAAAATTGTGGCCATTTACCAAGCTGTCTCTTCTCTCCTCCTCATCTCCCATCACTTAGATACTTTCTGCTACTGTTTCCATCAATCCTGGTTCACTTAAAGAGATGGCCTTTCTCCTTACAAAGGCTAAGCCCTCTATATTCACAGGTAATGCCATTTTCATCTTTCCTAGCACGATTTCCCCTCTCCCCCCAATCCCTTTATCCTAATATCTTATTAATCTTTAATCTGTCCCTGTCTGTCGGCTGCTTCCATACTGCCTACAAACACACCCACTTCTACCCCATCTTCAAAAAACCCTCACTTTTTTGTTGTTGTTGTTGTTTTAGGCAGTTGGGGTTAAGTGACTTGCCCAGGGTCACACAGCTAGTACGTGTCAAGTGTTTGGTCTGAGGCCAGATTTGAACTCAGGTCCTCCTAACTTCAGGGCTGGCACTCTATCCACTGCGCCACCTAGCTGCCCCTAAAAGCCCTCACTTTTAATCCCTAAATTGATCATCTCTCTTCTCTTTTGTGGCTACTTGTCACTGTCTCGCCTTTCTTTCCTGTCTCTTAACTCTCTGAAGTCTGGCTTCTGAGCTCATCATTTGTTCTTCAGCTGTTCTCTCCAAAGTTACCACTAATACATATTAAGCCCAATCTGAAGTTCTTTTCTTAATCCTTATCCTTCCTGACCTTTCTGCACAGCCTTTAACACTGTTGATAACCCTCTTCTCTTTGATACTTTCTTCTCTAGGTTTTTGTAACGTTCATTCTTTTGCTTCCTACCAGACTGCTATCTTCATCCAGTTCATACCCACTAACTGGGATGTAGCCACAGGGCTCTATCCTGAGCTTTCTTCTCTTTTCCTCCTATACTGCTTCCCTTGGTGATCTCATAAGCTGTCATGGATTCAGTTATCATTTTTATGCTGGTGATTCTCAGATTTATTTATCCAGCCCTAACTATCTGATGGCCTCCAGATCTGCATATCCAATTGTCTATTCACCATGTAAAACTGGCTGCCTTGTAAACATCTTTTTAGCTTGTATAAAATTGAACCCTATCTTTCCTCCAATATTTCCCTCTTCCAAATTTCTGTATTACTGTGGAGGGGACCATCTTCTTTTTCAGTCACCTAGGCTTGTCTTTGTCTTCTCTACTTGATCATCTTCCATATTTAATCATTTGTTAAGTCCTGCCCACTTCTTTCTTAAACTTCAGCCACCTTGGTTGTGGCTCTCATGGACTTTGTCAGTAGCCTACTGATTTGATTCACTGTTTCAAATCTCTGTCCCTTGTATGCTGCTGTCAGTTTATTTTCTGAAATTCTGGTGTGACCATGTCATGCTTTTTTCCAGTGGCTCCTTTTTGCCTCTGGGATCAAATAGATAATCCTCTCTTTTGTCTTTTAAAGCCCTCCATACCCTCATCACTTCGTACCTTTCTAGTCTTCATACAGTCTCAGTTAAAATCTCATTTTCAGCATGAAGCCTTTCCCTGATCTTTATTTTAATACCTTTCCTATGAGATTACCCCTAATTCATCCTTTTTATGCTTAGTTTGCTTGTAGTTATTTCCATCTTGTCTTCCTTATTAGACTGTGAGCTCCTTGAGAGCAGGGACTATTTTTTTTCTTCTTTCTTTGCATCCCCAGACCTTAGTGCAGTGCCTGGCACATTAGTAGGGACTGAAGAAATGCCAGTTAACTTATTGATTGACAAACTGTAAGCTCCTTGAGGTCAGAGACTTCATAGTAAACACTTAATAAATGTTTTTGATTGTTTAGAAGAAGGAAAAATACTCTCTGATGAAATAATCATTCATTGGATTGGTTGGCTCTAGGAGAAAAAGAGCAAATTCCATTTTGCATTTGTTAAAATTCCTGTGTCACATACTTACAGTTAGATTAATCATTATATGTAACCTAAAAACTGTTTCTTGGTACACTTTATTCCCACCCAGCCTTCTTTTTTTCTTCTAAAGGGTTAAGAAGATGATTTTAGTTTTTCTAGGTCTCCTTGCTGTGGCTGGTAAATTCCATCACATCATACACAGCCTTCTCATAATGAGCCTCTCAGTTATCCTAAAAGGGCAAGCAATGTTTCCAAGGATGTACTTGTGTCCTTTCTATCAAGGTTCAGTAGAACCTGCCATAGCTAAGGTCAGTGTTACTTCCATTGTGCTGTGAGGCATCAATAGTAGGATTTTTGAAGAGGACTAGAACTGATTTTTTTTTCCTAAGCATGTATTATTAGCTTTGTAGCTAAATGTTGTTGGTGTGTAGGGAATTGCCCTGTGCAGACTGTGTTGCAGATAAAAAGCTACTCTGAAAATTACAATTTTGTTGCCTCTTGTTTTCTTGCACTGTGCCCTATCTGCACATTTTACATGCTGCCTATATAATATTGGAGGAAGTCTTACAAATTTTTATCTTATCTCAACTGGTTTCCTAATTCAGCAAGACCACCTATTTACTCCTTCTTGATTGGTTATTCCTAATCTGATCATCCTCCCCACATGTTTTTTTTAAATGCCTTCTGTTTTCTTCTAAATTATCTCATAACATCATCCTCTTCTCATTATCTGCCCCCTACACTCCAGTCAGAGTATTTTACCTTAATACTGAGAAAATAGTTTATTTGTTGAGAGTTCCCTCTTCCTCACCATGCTGTATCTCCGAAAATACTTTTTCATCATTCTCCCACTGTTTTCTCTTCTTAGGTAATATATAAATAACACATATACAACAATCCATAACATAAAATATACTAAAATAAAATATAAATAACATACATATAATAAAAGTGATGTATTTTCTCTTCACCACGGCCAGCCTCTTGTACCTTTTCCATCCTCTGCAGTCTACTCTAGCAGATTGCTCTCTAAAACCCACCTATCTTTCTAACTTCCTCATGGCTATGGGGGACAGCACCATCCTTCCATTTACTCAGGTTTTCAATTTTAGTACCCTCCTTGATTGTTCAGATGTCTTTGTTTCTACATATCAAATTGATTGCCAAATTTTGTTGATTACATTCATGATATTCCTCTTATCCATCCATGGTTCTCATGCTAGTTTGGGCCTGCATTACCTTTTACCTGGACTATTGGAATAGTCTCCTAATACATCTGTTTTCTCAAATCTCTCCCCTCTTTAATCCATCCTATACGTAGTTGTGAAATTATTTTTTTAGCAAAGCACAGATTTGACCATGTCCCCTTCTCAAAAAGCTACTGCTAGAGTGATTCTATTTCCTCCCAAATAATATACGAATGTTTTTTTGTCATGTACTTCAAAGTCTTTCACTATCTGTCTCCATCCTGCTTAATATTCTATTAAACATAATTGAACTAATCAATGAATGAATGAATTCTTAAAATTCATTTGTTAAGCTTTAATTCTTGTGCTAAGTTTTTGGGATACAAATAGGTTAAAAAGACAATCTTTGCTCTTGAGTT